GAACAGGCCAAAAAGTGGCGCAATTCGGTTGAGAGCCCTTTTTGTACATTCGCTGCTTCCCATTGTCGTGTTCATTGCATTTCTAGAATGACGGGTATTCTTCATGAGATTGGACCAGCGGTTTTCACGAGATTCAAAGGGTATTTCCTCACGGCTCCACAAGATTCCACAGACCTCTACTGTAATACATGATTTCCAAGAAATTTACTGTGATTGTTTCAAATTCCGATTTTGATGGACTTACTTTGAAGGCTGGCTATTTGATTACTCAACTAAATTTAGTGAGGGGGAGGGGAGTCAATGAGAACGGGAAGACAATGGGAAGTAGGGAAAGTGCAAAATGCCCCGCCCCCTCCATCCCCTGCCGAACTGCATCGAAAAAGTGATCTGACAAGTAGTTCATGTAGCATAATTTATTAGAGATCAAGTATTAAAATCGACCCAGCAAGAAAAATAACCGTATTCAATATTGCCGACGTAGTAAAAGAACAAGTATGTTGACATTAAAGCTACAACCATTGAACAATTAAGGAGCAAAAGTAGTTGAGGGAGGGGTGTTAAGATGAGAACGAAGATACCACGCCATGTCTGCTTTTCGCGCCTTCTTACCGAGGAGGGAATTGGCGTAGATAACCATTCCGAAGCTTTGAGAAGGCGTGAAAAGGCAGGCAATACACAACGGGTACCCCCTCTACCTCTGCCCCTGAGTCAGCAGCTGCCGTGGCATGTGCTAGTAACAATTTCCTTGGTCTCCCTTGTTTTCTGCTGCAAGACCTGTATGAAAAACCAGAGACAAACACTTGCTCTCGTTCTGAGATGGTGTAGAAATCAGTGAAAGCTCTGAATGGGGGGGGGGCTATTACAAATATGTGTTGGCCCTATCACTCTGTCTGGTCCTGTTAAGCTTTTCCTGAACTGCCCGTAGATTCCATTTGATCGATTGCGTCTCTGAATCTATCAACAAAGCCTGGATATAGGAGTTCTCGGCCAAATCATATCGGGCCCATCGCTGATACAGGACTCCTGAAACGAAGTTCGCTAACAAATGAAGTGTAATTAAACATAATTAGCGTTAATTAAACATAATTTTGCTAAAAGCTTTCTAAAAACTTTTTTATGTGTTGCGGAGTAGGGGCGATAGGAGGTCATACTCATAGCAAGAGGAAATGTTGAAAAATGCCCCTCAAATAATTGAGCATGGGGCCGCAATCATCTATATCGAACGCTAACAAAACCTGATTAGAATCCGTTAAGGAAACGTTTGGTTATTATGGCTGGGGTTTATACTTTGCGCCCAGCGTCCACCAGCGTCTCATCATTCCACGAGTAAGAGTAATATGGGGTAGTAGGAAGGAGCAGACAGCTGAATTATGCGCCGTGAAATGCATATGCAGTGTACAACTACTAAAGCACACAATTATACAATTCAATGTAGGGCATTACTGGAGTATACGTGGGTTGTCACACGCAAACGCATTTCACGACGCTCTTAGTCTGGTCCCTCCTACTACAGCATACGTCTACCAGCCAAGTTCTGTATTGCTATCTCCCCAGTAACTCTCTACTCCTGTACGCTGCGGACGCTAAGGGGGCGCTAGTAGTCGCTGAATGGACGCTTGCCCGGCAAAGTATGAACTCGCCAGCCAATGTGACATGAAACTGTGCCACAGATGACGACCTGTCAGTGACAAAAAAAGGACGGCCCACCGCACGCCAAATTTCTATTCGTATATGCTTACGGAAATGCCGGCATTATTGTAACCTTTACCTAGGTTCGCATGGATACGATGGCCATTCTGAGGACTTTGAGCTTGTTTGGTAAAATGGCGATTTTCAGATGACGTTCAGCTTCAGCAAATCGAGCGATTTTCCCCAGACATACTCCAATCTGGAAAGCGAGTGCAGCCGACTGGTCCACGACCGTGTTCGGAATCCTTTCAGCCATGGTCACCACGGCATCACATTCCTCACGCTCGTCCAACGCCACAAAAATGTTAGTCAATGCTTTGCTGTGATGAGGATCGAGCCTGAAAAGGCAACTTTCCTGTGGTGAGGAACAGAACCAAATTATTTGTGGATCAACAATGATCTTAGGAATAACCGCGTCATCCCTGCCCGGATGATTTTTCTAGCCAGGAATATTATAACTTTTCAGACTCACTTATTTGTGGCTTTTCTTCCACGCTTCCGAAGTGTCATGCTCGGGTCTTTTATTTCACTCTCGTAGAGCATTCCAAGATTGAGAGAGACAGTCTGCACTGGAGGTCTCAGCTTGAGATAGATCCATGGATGAGTTTTGACGCGCTTCCTTAATCGTGACCATTTTTAGTGATTAATTCAAACTGATCCTAAAACAACGAACCAGAGCTTGCGCTCGTGGAGGATCACCCGGGAAAGAGTAAGCCTTGGCCACTCTGTAGTACCAAGAAACCACACGTTGACACTGGTCTTTGTTAGGATAACTGCTCGTTTTAACGCCGCAGTCACGCGTTCGAATTTATCACAGAATGCTGAGTTGTGAGCAGAAAGTCGTGCCTGAGAGCTACGCATAACAGCCCGTAATCATAGGGTAAAGCGGGCGGCCCTGGTGGCGTAACGGATAGCGCACTCGCCCGGAAAGCGTGAGGTGCGGGTTCGACTCCCGCCTGGGCACGACTTTTGCCCACAACTCAGCATTCTTGTGATAACATTCGGAACGCGTACTGCGGCGTTAAACAGCAGTTATCATAACAAAACAGCTTCAAAAACATCTAAAGCCTTAGGCCTCGCGGTTTCATGCCGATATCCCATCGATTACGGCTGACCGGCTCACCAAGTTAAAACGTGTGAGTGCTGATAGCTACGCATCTCACAGCCCGTTAAGCTAGAGAGAGGTAAAGCAGTGGTGCTGGTGCGTAACGGATAGCGCACTCGCCCGGAAAGCGTGAGGTGCGGGTTCGACTCCCGCCTGGGGCACGACTTTTGCCCACAACTCAGCATTCTTGTGATAACATTTTTGACACAATTCTCAACCAATAACGCTTGCCAGCGGAGTGACAGCGCGTTTTTATGTCCCTTGTAACTTGCGTGTGTATCGATTAGAACTTTCGTCTAATAGGTGTATTGCCAACGATTAGCCTATCTTTCTCTTCCGACAAAGAATCTGCTCTCTTACTTCTACTAGACTTGTTCGGCTGCGCGATGCAGGAGCAGGCAGACTTTCCGGGGCAAGTGTCGGTCACTGTGGGAGACATTAGCGTTCTTGGTCGAGCCCTTGGAGCCCCAACATCCTCGCAGTCTTGTGGGCTGCGGAATCTGCACGAGAAGTATTCTTATACAGTTAGTAGCAAGGGATGCGTCTTTCAGGTGAAGCAGCAGCGGTGTCAATTTTTCCAGGCACCGCAGCTATTTTTACTAGCGTCCAAGGTAGCCGTGATGAATTTATTTCTTAGACAATGGACGGAGCAGCATCTCGGAGCTACAAGCAGCAGCATCAGGATGAAAGAATCGAAAGTGTCAGACAGCCCTGCTCACGATTTCTTCCTCCGGTGCGACCTCTCTTCCCTATATCATGCCCCAACAATCTTCCTAACTTTTCTCTACTTCCCCACTACTTTTTCTCAGTTTTCCAACAGAATAAGCTCCTCGGTTTTTCCCAAAAAAAGTGCAGTGCAGCGGGAAGGGGAGGGTGGGGAACAGAACAAGCGTGTTGCACCTCATGGGAATCCTTCAAACGTTAAAAAGGGGTACCTCAAATTTTCCTTGGTTCATGAGTGTGACGCCAAGATTCATCCATGCAACAGCAAAAACAGGCCGGACTTCTCAATGCTTTTCTCAGCAACACTTCAGCTTCTTCACTTCGTCCCTTCACTTCCAGAATATTCGCCAAATTGTTCATCGCATGCTCATAGTTGGGATTCAACCTAAGAACAAGTCAAACGATCCTTTCAGCTCCAAAAATGTAAGTCTCAAATAGACTTCACTCACCGGATGGCATTCCAGTAATTGTGTTCCGCCCCGTCTACGTCACCAATTCTGCTCAGAACTTTGCCAAGGTTATAGTGAACCTTGGCATTTTGGGTGCAGACCCGTAGCCCGCTCGCGTAGAGGTCCAGCTCTGTCCGCCATTCTTCGGAGCGCTGAAACAAACGGGATAATAGAGATTATAAGCAGTAGGGGTAGAACGCCTGGCATTGATCAACCTTTTGCTTTCTGGATTACTTTAAGGATCAACATCCTCATTAGGCCCATAACTGCTTTTACAAATATTACTTCCTTTCCACAGTTACGCGATTTCATGTTTTTTTTTCGCAATAAACGGCGTCAAGCGCATTCCGCCAGCTCCTGTACGCGTTCATACTTCGCGACTCGAGCAAATTCCAAATCGCGCGACTCTGAGCGACTTG